GCCCGGTGGGCGCGCAAGCCGTAGCCGTTGGGGGTCCATGCCGGCCTCCACCGGGCCTGGAGGCTTTAGAGCGCGTTTTGAGGGGAAAATGGTTAAAATCGTTAAATACGGAGCCGCGTTGCCGGCACGGGTGTCGAGCCGGAGCTGCCCGCCATAACTTGGCCTGGGTGGGCTCGCAGGGAGCAGTACTACTGGGTGGTCCCGGGCCAGGCCCTGCTCCCCACCCCGGCCTTGCCTCTGCTCCCGGGCCCGGCCCGGGCCTCGCCAGCCCGGGTAAACCCTCTCCTCTCCCCTTAATTCTCATTTATATATCCGTAGAAATGGAAGCGGGACGGGCGAGCTTTTCCCTGGGAGGCTACTCCCATGCTCTGACCCCGACCGGCACCAACTGCGGCCGCCGGGACCGGCGAGGTTCACGGTCAGGCGAGCCGCTCCTCTGTGCCGTGGGTCGCGTCTCCATCGGGCAGGGTCAGCCCGACCCTGACCGAATTCCCGCGACCTTCAGGTGTTTCAGGCAAATGATATTCCCTCCCAGCGCTTCCCGCTACCCTCTCGAATAAACTTTCTCAAAGCAGGTGAATGCAATCCATCGACGTCCGATCTAACGTCGTTTCGATGAGCCGAGCTGAGGGGTTTCCCATCGCTACTTCTGGGAGTCTCGGTGGCATCTCTCATCCTCAGGTGTCCAGGTTGCCGGGGTTTTTTCTTGTTAAACTTAACACTTTGACCAACCCCATCATGGGGAGCAGAACACATTTGATTTAGTAGCATTTGGTGTAGCTCCTCTGGCTTTTAGTTTACTGCCCTGTGAGATGTTGTGAAACAAAGCAGGGTTCTGGAGTTTTTGTGGAGCAGCTGCACATGGCTGGTGTGGGGGATTTGTCAGGAACAGAAAGGTTTGGGCATTGTCTGCGCATACAGAAATTGGGAATGTTTTCTTCAGAGTCTGGTGTTCGGGGCTATTGAACTTGCAAAGGCTGTGTTCTTGTATCATACAGGAATTATAATCTGTAGGCTGCAAAGAGATTGCTTATATTTAACACAAGAACAGATGAGTGCGCTTCTTTTCTGGCTTAGTCGTTTAATTTTGCTTGAGCTTCTTCTCTGGCTCTGTTAGGAGGCAGATGAGTACAGAGGCTCTGTTGCTGGTAGCCCAGCTCACACTGATAAATAGAAATTGATGTTCCTTGTCTGATTTTACTACCATTAACAACAACTGCTATTAAAAGCATTGACATGGTGTCTAAAAACTGTATTTTCAGTAAACGTGTCTGGTGGTGCAATCATGGGGCCTTTTACTCTTGATCATTCCAAAGATCTCAGTCAAGCTGCCAAAAACTTCTCCTTCCCTCCTACTCTTCCCCGGTAAAGTCTGAATAATTTGTCTTGCAGGTGGCTTTTACCTCCATATTCTTTGAATTTCATACAGGAGTTTAGTGACATGACACCTTAAAATATTCACTTTGGATGTTCTTAGTACCTTTAATTTATTAAAGTAGACTTTAGGAATCTGATTCATCTTTAATTTATGCTCTCTTTTCTCCATCACTGACTATTTACGCTCAATTACTAGGGAGTTTCATTCCCTGGTTCTCAAGTGCTGCCTTCAGAGTGCAACACAATTACATGCAGAAGGTAGCTGCCTTTAATGTTGTGAAAATAATAGGTTTGGTGGTTTTTTGTCAAGTATTACAAAACGCATGCTTTGCCTTGCATCCTGGACACAAAGGATCCCAGCAGTTTATGGATCAAATCTGCGCTAATGACGGTGGCTTGTTTGTTAAATTGATATAACTTTTGAGATGAGAGAAACTTCTTGCCATATTGATGCAAGACGGCACTGTTTTCAAATGTGTAAATGAAATGGGTGATTTCATCTTGGTTGGCTTGATGACATTTTTATTGAAATGCTCCTTTTTCTCTCCCTGGTGTGCTTATCTTTGCACTTGAAACGGGGCAGATTAATATCCTTCCAAGAAGATGAGGTTTACACAGAGTTTGCACAAATTCCAACTACTAATATGCAAATAAAATGAACTAGCAAGACACTTATTGGCAACCTCCAGCAAATGTTCCAGGCCTGCGTCAGTATTTATTCCTATTTTGATGAAAAGTTCTGAACAAAGTGTGCCTGAGCCTTCAGGAAGCAAGTCCTGGCTGTGTGTGAGCAGAGCTGCTTGTGATCTGTGACTGCATTTCCATACCCCTTAATGTCAGGGCTGTTCAGATCCACAGTCCAGCTTCCCTGCAGATTCGTCTTTTGCTTTAACTGGGAGGTTCTCCCGCACAAAACAGCCTCTCTGATGGCATTTCACAGCTCCACTATGCAGTTTTGGTCCTCGTTTTTTACCTTAAGTGGCTCAAAGGCGTCAGAGCCTACAAAGGGTTTTCCTTTAAGCTGTGTGCTGCACGCAATGAGTCATCCTGCAGAACTCACAAGCAGTTTCACAAATACCAGATGGTAGTAAAATTAAAAGTAGTAGCTAGTGGCAATTAAGCATTTGCTATAACCATTCTCCCTTCCTGACTGTAGGAAGTTGCCAAATGTCTTTTTTTTTTTTCTCCTAACTTTACTGAAAAAAAAACCCAAGCTATGTTTCTGCAGAGTGGAAAATTAACAGAATACAAATCCTTCCTTCCCTAGCCCGTAATCCCATTTGGAGTTGAGTGGAAAGCTATGTGCTGTATTTCGTGCATCTGTGGGAGAAGATGAAGCAGAAAAAACACACAGTAAAGGAAAATTTGGGGCATTGTATGGGCACATGCAAAAAGTATTTCAGCAGTGACCCTGTTAAACCCACAAACTGTTTGCTTCTAAGCTTGCAGAATGTACAGCTCTTTAAACAAGACTACATTCAGAGTTGCTGGGACTTAGTTTGGATTTTTTGTTTTGTTTTTATACTGCAGGCTGTTGCAAAGGATTTGCTCCACAAACTTGGAAATACTTTGAGTTCATTAACGTAAGAAGCGTGTCCAAATACCATTGTGTTTGGCTCAGTATAAATAACAATGACTGCTCCCCTTCCTTTTTAGTGACTCTTGCTGCTTGGCATCTTCTGGATCTATCAGCGATACACAAATAGTTATTAGCTTTCTCAAGCCCCAGATATGCTACCTCGGCCCTTCCTTCCGATGTATTACACATGCAGCATGCTTCATCCATTCTGTTATTTGCAAGTCACATGTGACGTGACCTTGCTAAGATTTTTTTGGAGATAAATCTCTCTTAATTTATGCATAACTGGCCAGGAAAGATTTTTTTCATGATTTATGTCACAATAAGAAGCACAAATCTACCTCTTCCTATCATGTAAACAACACACGATTTTTTATTTCCCCCAATCATAATGGATAATTAGTGTCTTCTTTATAGTGAATCATATTAAAATAATCTTATTGTTATTACTTTTCTCACTGTGCTTTAAGAAATCCTAAGATGTTTTCATGCTGGGACAGATGAGGAAAGGGTGAGGCCAAACCAGCCCCATGTCACCGCTGCCCCCAGCTGTGGCATTTCTAGCCCTGTCCTGGCAAGGCAAGAAGCATCGGGGGCTGATGGTTCAACGCAGCAGCTGAGGAGCGCAGGATGGGGGATGTGAGAGCAAAGGGAAAACTGGGGTGGATATAGGGGGTTTAAACCAACAGTTTCTCTTAGGAAGATCTCCTCCTAAATCCTAGTCTGGTGCCAGTGAGTTTCGTGTTGTTTATTGAGTAGCACCTGCTAGTGTGCTGTGCAACCTCTTAAAACACACTTTAATCCCCCCGGGATGGAAAGGCAGCTAATGCAACAGCTTCTGAAAAGGAATGATACGACTGGTAGAAAGACCAGAATTAGTAGATACATGGATAACCTGATAAACAGAAAGGAGTCAGGAGTAGTCTTGCCTGGAAGACCTGTTGGAAGTCACTTGAGTATGTCCTCAAACGCATGGGTGGGGAGAACAAGGTGTTTCAATCTACTTGAATTTCCAGGTGCCTTCTTTAAGGATAAGCAGCCTCTATTTGTGGAAATCAGGCACAGATTAAGAGGGAAGAGCGTAGCCTGGACAAAGTAGCAGAGTAAAAGATTGGAAAGCGTGGGTTGGCATGATTGGTCACTTCTGTTCACAGGTGAATGTCACCAGTGGAAGCCTGCAGGGCTCTTCACCCCTTGGCGTACCCACGAGTGCTTTCTCCTTTTGTGAGCAAAAGTTTGGCAAGTTAAAGCCCAAGCTAAAAAATTATTTTGTGGATCATCCAGCTTCGGTGGTACTTGAGTTATTGAAATCTCTACCAGCTAGGCAGAGAGTTGTCCTAAAGATTCCCACGGTAGGGAACTGGTTTGTTTGTGATCTTGTTTTGCTTTGTTTCTCCTTACTCATCGCCGCCTTGCCTCCTGTGCTGGTGGGCTAGCAGGTTTTCCTGGAACAGGTCATGCATCTGGCACCGAGCTGTGGCATTATCTGCTAGGCAAAAGGGACCATATGCCTGTCAGACAGCCCCAGAAAGACTTTTGTTTAAGGAATCTCAGTGATGCAAAGAATAACAGTGATTGTCACTGTGCAGGTGAAACACTGAAACACCAAAACACCGACCGACTTCTGGATCACGTATGGTTTCTGTGCAAAGCACAGAACTGTGAAGGAGTGCCTGCAGGTCCCAAGCTGGAACTGCTTTGAAATCACTTTGCTTTGAGGTTAAGATCATAACAATGAAACATTTATCTGATTGGAGCCACACACTGCTCCTGGAGCAGCAGAAGAGCCCGGCTCAGCCCATCACAGGCTGCAGATGAGGAGCTACATGTCCTCCAGCTGCTCATCTGCTGGTCCTTCAAATATCCATCTGGGAAACCTGGGCTTCTGCTCACTGCTTTTTCCTTGCTGAGAAGGAACTCAAAATGTCTGTTGCACTGTATCTTGTCCCAGGTGTGATCTGATTCCTTAATTCATCTTTCCTTTCTCTGTTTCAGCTTTTGAAGTTTCCTGGAGTGCCACAGCCCCGACCTGCTCAGGATGGACCCTGTTGTTCTCAGCTACATGGACAGTTTGCTGAGGCAGTCGGATGTTGCCTTGCTGGAGCCCCCAAACTGGCTTAACGATCACATAATAGGGTTTGCCTTCGAGTACTTCACCAACCACCAGTTCCAAGAATTTAGCGATCAGGTTTGTTTTATCAGCCCCGAAGTGGCTCAGTTCATTAAATGTGCCCTTAGTCAGGAAGAAATAGCCATATTCCTTCAACCGCTGGACCTTCTCCACAAGAAGCTGGTGTTCTTGCCTATCAATGATAACTCCAACCAGGTTGCTGGGGGCACCCACTGGAGCTTACTGGTTTATTTCAGGGACAAAAAGTGCTTTGCCCATTATGATTCCCACAGTAAATGCAACTCTGTCCATGCCAAGCAAGTGGCAGGGAAGCTGGAGGACTTCTTGGACAAAAGAGGGAGCAAAGCAACCTTTGTGGAGGAGAAGGCGCCTGCCCAGCAGAACAGCTATGACTGTGGGATGTACGTGATCTGCAACGCGGAGGCTCTGTGTCAGGGATACTTCAGGGGCCGGCCGGAGCCTTTGCTGCAGCTCCTCACCCCCTCCTACATCACACAGAAGAGATCGGAGTGGAAAGCTCTCATCACCAAACTGGCACAGAAGTGAGCAAGGTGCAGGTCCAGCCCCCCTCCAAAAGCTGCCTTCCCCTGCCGTGAGGCAGCACCCCCAGTGCCTGAGGGAGATGCCCATGCACAGGATTGTCCCAAAGAAGAATGTAACCCCTCCAGCATGGCTACACCCCCCAAACACCCCATTCCCTCTTGGAAAAGCCTAAGTCCCCTCTGAAAATCACTAGCCTTTGAACTTCTAAAGAGAAAAGTCACTTTGCTTTCAAAGAAATCCTCCTCTCCACAGTGAAATTTTACACTAATTGCTGTGGCAAAATGGGTTGCCAAAGAGACTTCTCTGCCTTTACCCAGCAAGCAAACCCACCCTTGTTAGGTGGCTGTAATTGACTACAGGCATTGCTGTTCCAAGCCAGGTTTAGCAAATGCCCTTTAAAACCAAGCCCCAAAATGCTTTATCATGGCTATTTCTAATTTGTGCCTCCTGCTAGTGGTATTGGAGCAGTCTAGGCTTTACCAGCAAGGACTTTTACCCCTGAAAACCTGATGTTGGGATGTCAATGTGAAAAGATGAAATGCCAAAGGAAATGGTACAATTAATTAAAGAATGGAGAAAAAAAAAAATTTCTTCAGATGGGTGATGGCTGTATGGGATAGCACTTTTTTTTTTTTTTTTTTTTTTTTTTTTGTCCCCCACCCCTGCTTGCTCTTATTATAAATTAAAACCTGACTCTGAACTGCTGGAAATAACAGGAAGCTGAGAAACCCAATCCTAGGAAAGGAAACTTAATTGAGATGAAAAGCAACGCTCACTCTTTGAAGGTTTTGGGGTTTTTTTTCATTACAATTTTAGGTCACCTCCATTTGGGGAGGGTTCGTCAGCACTCCCCAACCCTCGTTAGCGTTCACTGTAGTCAGAGCATACAAGGCGGTCGCTACTTCCTCTAGCACAAAACCAGTTCTGTTACTCAAGATAAAAAAAAAACACACCAGGGAGAACAAAAGGACAGAGTTTGAGGTATAAAAGCCAAAGATAACTGCGGTCTCCTTGAAGCCCAAGAAGTCCTTAATACACTTCTAATTGAAACTCTTTTCCTACTGTGCTGGATGATGGCTGGGATCTTGGAGCAGATCCTCTCATTAAAAACAGGCTTAGCAGTGGGGAAAAAAAAAATTAAAATGTGATGTCGTTGCAGGATAAGGAATAATCTCTAACCTCATGAGAAGCAAAGAGCAGGTTGCTCAGGTGGTGTCTAGCAGAGCAACCACACCCAGCATGCCAGCTGGATCAGGGAAATCCAGGTTAAATACAACCCTCAGGAAAGGAAAGGGGGAAGCATTATTTTTAACCTGGAGCTCTTCACCCATTGCCATCAACCCAGCCCCACTGGTGTGTGTACCAGCACAGCACCGAGGTGATGAACTGCAAGAAGAGCTTAAACTTCCCTGGTTGCTAAGAGAAAGGTAAGTAGCCGCAGCCCAGGCTCTTCCAAAACACCCAAACGAACACATACCGGCAGTGGTGGGGCCAAACGGGGCCGCGGTCATTCCCCTCCTGCCAGGGACTCCCTCCAGCACCAGCCTCCCTGGAAAACCCCCTCCACCACTCAGCTGGAGACAAAAATCCAAGAGGTGCTTGAAACAGGACCGAGCCACTCACCAAGGGGATTCACTTTGGACGCTGTGGGGCTTTGCTGGAGCAACATCACTGCTGCTCCCAGCTCCAAAATAAAACAAACCAAACCGGGCGCTTGCCAGCATCATCCCATCTCTTTTTGGATCCCCACTGAGAAGCAGTGGCTCCTGCTGCCTCGCCGTGCCTTGTGCAGCAGTATCACGGCCACAGTGGTTGTGACCCGCAGGCAGAGCCACGTGGCTCACAGCAGCTTCTCGGCCACCGTGCCCTGCAGCAGGTGGAACCGAGCAGAAATCGGCCAGTGAGCCCCGGGACAACCCCTGCCACGCCTTGTGTGGTAGCGAGGCAGCCATAGAAGCTGATTTAATCTCCTAATCCTGTTTTTAGGGGTCGATTTGGGCTGGGGAGGAGCACAGGTAAGAAGGCAGGTTGGTGGGTGCAACTGGGGGAGCATCAGGGGGACGTGAGGTCAGGGGCTGTGATTGTCTGGTGGGTGCCCTGTGCTCCTTGTCCCTGTCCCCAAGGGACAGGGCAGGGCTGCCAGAGCCAGCAAGGTGAGCACCCAGGGGACGTCTCCTGCACACAAGGCTTTTACGTGGCATTTCTTTACACAAAGAAAAGCAAATAAGCTCAAGCAGGGCGTCGCCGGGAGAGTAAACAGGCACTGACCAGGCAGGCAGACAGCAGCTGGAAAACAAAACTGGAGCCTTGCAACTGACTTCCAGCAGCAGGGACACCCCCAAACCACACCAGGGGTGCATCCCAGAGCTCCTCCAAATCTTCTCCATGTCAGCCAACTGCACCCACGGGTTGTCCCACCACTGGTTTTAACCAAAGAGCCCAAGAGGAGCCAAGGTGGCCATCACCCCCATTCACACCTGGCCCGGGCACTGAGGACAAGGGACCTCATGTACTTGCTTTATATCAGATGTTGTGGAGCACCCAAAAACCACCAGGCTGGGCACACAAGACCAAAATAACCCCAGTCCTAAATTGCTAAACCTAATTTTTGAGGCCATAAGCCCCACTTTGAGGTTGAACCCATTGAGCAGCTATTTGTTTTTAGAAAAAACATCCCCAAACCCCTTCAAATCCGTTTCAACCGCCGCACCAGGAAAATGAGCTGGGTGAGGCCCCAGCAGGGACAGAGTGGCAGCAGGATGGCAGTTTTCATCTGCCAGGTCACCCACAAAAGCAAAGGCTCTGACAGCCCTGTAACACCAGGGCTTTGAAGAAGCAGCTTCAACAGTTTAGCCAGAAACATGGCCGAACAACAGAGCACCCCTCCAGCACTCCAGGGTGCTAAATCTCCTGAAAAAATTAGGTGACACCACCCCAGTCCCCGCTTTGCCAACACCACCTCCGGTGTGGCTTTCAAGTTGGGAAATTTTCATGTGTTTTGCTGCATGGGCCAGGCTGGTAGGGAGGATTTGGGTTACAGATGCTCAGGGAGGAGGAGAAAGGCTCACGCCGTCCACCCCAGCAGGATGGGGCATCCGCTGTTCCCAGGGCGGCCCTGCCACCTGCTCGAGTGTCATATCACACGGTCTCTGCTGCCATCTAGTGAAAAAATTTCCCCATCCCCTACGCCCGGAGCATCCCTGGCACTGGGTGGGCCCCAAAAGCCACGCTGGCCCCCCTGCCCCAGTCCGGGCTGTACCCCCAGCTTGGTATCCCCCAGTCTGTGCGACGACAGGGCTGTCCCCCTGCAATCCACGTTCTGAGGATGCAGCCACTGAAGGGGCACTGGGACAGTGCAGATTCTGGAGTACCCTGTTTTGGGGCTCGCAGCCTGGCACTGCTGCAAGGATGCTGGCAGCAGACAGCGACGTGCTAGAAAATCCTGGGTTTATTTTCATTTAAAAGCCGTTCCGAGCCCGAAGCGAGCAGCAAGCTCGCTTCCCCAGGGCACAGGGATTTGGCCCCATCAACACTTGTAGTTCCCAAAAAATAGGAAAGAAAAACAAAAGGAATCACACAGGTATCACCTGCTGCCGCAGCATGCTCCCAGGGGAGGCTGTGGGACAAATCCTGCAGGACAAATCCTGCAGCACTCGGTTCCGTGCAGTGATGGGGTTAACACAAACCAGGGCACAGTCACACTGCCATCCAGGAGGGTCACTGGTGCCAGCTGCGAGCTCCTTTCAGGACATCTTAATGAGGTGAGCGGCGCTAACCGAAGCCTTGGTCCGACACCGTTGCCAGGTGAGGTCCCCAGCAAGGACGCCTGGTCTGGGGGACCCTAAAGTGCTTTGCAGGACACAAACACACATGCACACCCCAAGGTGGCCCCATGCTCCAAGAGGGAAGGGCTGGGGACTACTACGGAGCCCAGCAGAAGTGGGGGGGGGACCTGGACTGTACCCCCACCCTTGGGTGCTGGGATAAATGATGCCCCACAGGGCTGGTGGCTCCTTTCTCCCTGTCCCTGCAGCACCCCAGGTTGGGACCATTCCTCTGGCCGCAACCCCAGGGTACTGAGACAGGGATGAACAGGCGGGTTCAGCCCAGAGCTGCTGCCCAGACCTCACCCAGAGCAGCAGCAGCAACGCATGAACATTATTTTGGGGTTCCCAGTGAGCCTAAGGTCATCTTTTCATAAGAAAAACCCAAGTCTGGAATAAAAACCAGCACCCATTTTAGCAGCAAGTCCTAAGGGGAGCTCTAACTGCTCGGCAGCTCCGAGCCATCATCTGGTGCTATGGTGCAGCAGCATCCCAGGGTGAAAACAGTTTTCCAGTGGGACGGGGAGTTGGCACCAGTGGCCATGAGCCGGCCGGGTGGTCCCACTGGGAATGGGTGCCAGTAGGAAGAGAGAAGATAGTTGGTCCCATTTTACTGGCCGAGGGAAAGCCGAGCCACATGCAATAGCCATGGCCGGGAGGATGCTGCACCGGGATCCATTTGCAGGGTGCCACCGTCTCGGCCTCTCTCCTCAGCCAGCACTGGGGTAACGGTCACCTGCAAGCAGAGAGCAGGGTAACAGGACAAGTAGCCACAGAGGCAGGGTAACCCAGCCTGCTGCCCAGGCCCCCTGATGTCCCTGAGCCAGGGGAACCCACTCCTGTCCATCCCTTGCTGATGCCCACGGTTGCGTTAGCCCCAGGGCATAGCCCAGCTCCACTGAGATGCCCTGGTGCTTCCTGCAACTGGAGAATCAGCCCCAAACCCACAAGGAAACCTTTTGCCAAGGGCTGAAAGTCACAGGGACAGCTTTCCTTGATGGCTCAAACTAGCAGTTGATGGAATCATCTACTGCGTGGGGACGATCTGCCATTGCAACGGCAAGCACAGGATAAGGGACAGTGTCCTGGGACATGTCACAGAGCCATTGCTCTTTACACACAGCCCTCAGATTCTTCACTCATGGTGTGACGTACCAGCAAAAGTGTCCCCGAGGGTCCCTCACCTCCTGTGCCCACGGGAGAGGTAGTCCCGGTTCAGAGAGCAGAGCTGCTGCTCCAGACGGAAGATGCGAAATGCCAGGTATGAGGAGGACACGACCAGGAGGCAGATGCTGGGAGCAGAGGAACAAGCAGAAGTATTCAGCAGCTGGTGGTTGAGATGGACATTCCTGGTGTACCCCCAGACTCCCCACACTGTGCCCCCCCTCAGCACACTTACAGTACAATGAAGATCTTCAGGAGCTGGTAGTCAGAGGGTCTCAGCTCTGCCACGCAGCTCTGCTCCACCTCCAGCTCCTCCTCGGTGTTTATTGCACTTTCTGAAATGCAAGCCCAAGGTCAGCAGCACAGCAACACGGGGCAGATTCCTGTGCTCCTTTGGCAACTAGGAGCCTTCAAGCATCAAATATTGCTCCCTTGTGGGCTAATGCTGCCTGCACAGTGTTACAGGCACACGCTGAGGGCTCAGACCCCACAGCCAGGACCCTATCACCAACTGCCAGTCACAACCCTGCTCATCTATAAGGCAGAAATCCCCTCCACGAGAGTGGACAATGGAGGAATGTGTATTTACAGAGGTTTACACCCAGCACCACATGCAGGGCAGGGCACAAATCCATATTGCTGGGTCAGACACAGCCCTCACCTGAAACCAGGGGCTCCTCGGAGGTGAAGGAGCTCTCCTTGGCACTCAGGCTGCTGACAGAGGTCCGGTGGATGCACTGGTAGTCGGTGTCTGGCAGTGACAGTGAGAGCGAGGCAGGTGACACCTTCCTCCACTTGCCCTCGGGGACGATCACCTCCTGCAGGAACAGCCCCGGGTGAGCGGTGCCGCCAGAAGCAGTTTCTCCCATGAAACCAGCAGTGCCGAGGACATGGTGGGGCCAGATTCGGCCTTGAATCTTGCAGCATTTTCATCGAGTACCAGCACAGCCAAAACATCATCCTCAGGGGGTGCTGGTCCTCCACGATGGCCCCGTGGGGACACCAGTTCCCACTGCCACAGAAGGACCTGCCCATGAGACGGGGATCCTCCACGTGAGAGCCCCCAGGACTGGAGCTGCTGAAGGGCCACATCCCTCAGAAGCACCACGAGATGCTGCCAGCCTGGATCGCTCCTGATCCAGCCCCTGAAAAGTGCCTTCAACCCCTGGGATGCCACCAGACCATCCCACTTGTCACCTCCTGTTCCAGCATGCATGGCCACTGGCCCACAAGGGCCATCCCAATTGTCACCTCCTGCACCCAACCTGATGCACAGGGCCACCAGCTCACAAAGGACACCCTGCTCAGCATCCCTGTACAGCCAAGCACAGACACAGCACCAACAGCTTCATGACGGAGCGGAGACAGGGACGGGCACGTTTCACAGAGAGATCACATCCTGCCACTGGGGACGCAGCCACCGCGAGCAGAGCCGAGTCCTGCCATGTGCCAAAGGTGGCAGGAATCAGCCCCTCATGCCCCCTCGGTCACGCCGCAGTTCAGCAGGCTCTTCCCTCTCCAACCTCCCAGCTATGAGCCATCCCACTCATCCCACAGGTTTCTGGATAATTCAGCCACATTTCCGGCCCATTATCCATGTTCACAGCTGCAAACAGCATCAGCCAGCAGGAGCAGAGCTCTGACGTTTTTCCACCTATAAATGGACCCCCAAGACCAACTGGCTGAGCCATCAGCTTGTGTTCAGCCGCAGGCTTTCCAAATCATTCTCTTGACCCGTCCATTTCTGCCAAGTGAGGGTATGAGGATCCCAGAGGATGAGCTAGGAAGGGGACGGCTGCATCCTCCCACAACCATTGTTGGCAGCAAGGGGAAAGGACCGACTGTGCCCTGCCAGTGGCTGCCAGCCAAACCTCAGCACACCAGGAAGGCATTAAACACCCTGAGGGGACCAGGCAGACGCTCTCCTGCCTGCAGCATGAGTTCACGAGGATCCTTCCCTCTCCCAGAGCTGCCCTGACCCTCACCAGTGACACAGTGTCAGGCTCCTCTGTCAGCTCCTTCAAACTCAAGCTCTTCTTACTGGAAACCTGAAGGGGAGAAAGAAATGGGTGTTATAGTGCCACCTCTCCCTGCTTCAACCTGAGCCAGAAAATTTCATTTTGACTTTTCTGATGAGCCTACGAAGAGCAGCTGCTTAAAACTTGCAATCATAGAGATCTTGGGGACGAAGAATAGCATCTGGCAGAGAACGGGGCTCCACATCACTGCTTCCCATCACCAAAAATCTTACGGGGCCATGGCTGAGCCGAGGGCTCCTGTGCCAGCCTTGGCTCCTGGCAGAAGGGATAAACCATCAGGGGGAAAAATAAAGGGAATATCTGGGCAGAGCCCAGCATGTTTCAAAGAATAAATTCCACAGTTTAGCAATGGGACTGAGTCACCCAAATTGCTGTCCCAGTACAGCTGGCAGACACCCTTCTGGGTGGGGAAGGGCTTCGGCACCGTTTCCCACGTGCTTCAAAGGCAGGGAGAAGAAGAGGTCCTCACAATCCTCCTCTCCAGCTCGAGGGCTAATGGATGTCTTCCCCACTTAAGACTTTTTAATTCAAATTTTTTTTTACTTTATACCATTTTTCTTCCCCCTAAAACTTGAGATCTGGGGAAAAGGCAGTGATCTGCAGAGTGGCAGAACTAGTATTACTACCAGATTATAAATAATTCATATCCACGCCCTAGGAGAGAGCAGAAACTCCAGGTTCTGCTTCCGTCATCCGTGTCCCAGAAAAGGCCAGCAGTGGCTCCTGGGGACAGGATGTGCCCAGGGCACAGCTCCTGCCCTTCTTTGTCCCTCCAGCAGGGCACCGGGGAGGGACTGGGGAGCAGTCTGAAGCCTTGAAGGCAGTGAAGAACTCTGTTCCCTGAAACGCAGACCGGGGGGTGAGCGCAGAGCCCTGTGGCCATCGAAACGCCATCTGACGCGGGGTGGAGGGTACCTGCAGGTGTGTGCAGACTCTCCTCAGGACATCGTAGACGCTGTCGCGGGAGATGAGGGACACGAAGATGTACTGCGAGAGAACGAGAGAAGCTGCTGGGAGAGGCACCCCCCCATCCCGAGTCCAGTTCTCCACAGGCAGGGGACAGGCAGAGACGTCCTGCCCTTGAATCTCCCCTCCTTCGGGCAAGCACCGTGTCCCCCCTGCAGGCATCTCCCTGCAGAGTTTCCCTGCTGTTATTTTTGCAGCCTGCTAAAACCTGGACCTGGATTTTTTTGGGGCGTTTTGCTCAGCTGTTGTTCCCACGAGGTCTCCTGTACTCAGCCCAGAGGGACGCAGCAGCAAATGGGGCCAGGAGTGACAGAAAACATCCCCGCAGATCGGGGCAGCACTCGCCTTGCCCCACGCAGAGCCTACACGAGGCGCAGAGCAACCAGATCGCTTCAAACGCCCAAATCCTGCCTTGTACCACCCCCTCCCAAAATCCCGCAGGAATAACTCCCTCCCAGGCAAGGCACACTGCTGCCATAGCCCCCGGGCAGGTGAGGACTCAGACACACCGAGCAGAGCTACCTCAGCTCACTGCAGCCGACAACACCCAACGTGATTTAAAAGCTGGAAATTCAGCCCTTTAACTGTTTTGTGCCAGCTTGGGTTGAACACTGGCCCAAACCCTTACCCTGCTTGCGTTAAAGGAGTTTAAAGGTTTTGCTTGAGCCTGGCAGGGATTTGTCAGGCTCCGCCGAATTTCACTTGGGCTTTGGTTCACCCAGAAACAAAGTGAAATTCAGAAAGCAAAGCAAAGCCACGGTGTTTTCCCCGGCTGGCTGCCAGCACGGGGAGCAGTGCTTGCCTCCAGCCAGCCTGCGCCTTCAGCCAGGGATGGGAATTTCTTCATTCCCTGCTCTCAAACCGCTGGCATTACCTTTCTGCTGGCGTTGGTGGTGATGGCCAATCCATTGGGGAGCAGCCGAGCGGTCTTATGCTTTTTTATCAGCTGTACAGAGACCACGGGGATGACAACCTGGAGGGCAAAAGGACACGGGGATGGGCAGGGACAGGCACAGCACGAGCTCAGGGAGCTTCTTTTGCAAGACAGAGATATAACACGCATCGTAATTATGCCCCAAGCAGAGCAGTGACACGGAATTCAGCATTTCCCAGAGACAGCCTGGCTTTTATTAAAGGTCATGGCACACCCCCCACACCCCCCCTTAATCTTAACTCAGAGGTAGTTTCTACTTGAAACAGTGAGGACACAGGGAAAGCACCGTCCAGTGAGTCTCTCTAAGAGCCATCAAAACAGCCCCCCTGCAAGCTCGGGGAGTGCTAAAAATAAGGCAGGATGTAATTTATGACAGGATAACTTCATTGAAACCCTGTATTTCCATCAGACATTTGTTTAAAGTGACTGATATAAATAATTCAGTTCTTCAGCCCAGTTTTAAAGGAAGTTGTCTCTCCCCAAGATCTCCATCAGCCCCAAGACTAACAGGGAAACATCAAATTGTAAATCAAGAAGAAAAGCCAAGAGAGATTCAAATCTGCACCACCCCCCAACACCCCCCACCCCCTCCACCTCTTTGATCTTCTTCCAAACGCTGTTGCAGCTTGTAGGAGGTTTTGCATCAGGGAATTTTAAACCAAACCAATATTTGGTTTCCCCAGGCAGATGCCGCAGGTGATCAGAGGGGGAAGCACAGCTGTGCTCCCCTTCACATCGGAGGCTTTTGACAGTGATTTTGGTGGTATTTGGGTGCAGAAGGGGTTAAGCCTGGACTACAAGCCCTATGGGACTGAGGTGAGCTGGCCCCCCGTTACCTTGATGTCCTTTCCGAAAAGGTTCGCGTAGAAGCAGAGCCAGTTGGGGGAGATGTAAAGCCTTCCCTGGATGAGGATGTCTCTCTGGAGCGCGCAGGAGCAAACTGCAAGGCAGAGAGAGGGGCATGGCAGACCGTGTGCCGGATCCTGCCACCCCTGTGCCCGTCCCTTTTCATGCCACCCACCTTTCAGCACGCTCTCCTCTGTCGGGATGTCCTTGAACAGTTTGTGGTACTGGGAGTTGTACTTGCTAGCAGCCTGAAAATAAGCAGAGCAAAGTTATCCAGTGACCTTGCTGATAAAAAGACCCAAAAAAATAAAAAAACAAAACCACCCTCCTGCAAAGAAATCTTCCTCTCTCCGCACCCGGGACCGGCGCAGGGGGGTCCCACCAGGTTGGGGACGGTGGAAACGAAGGGCTAGAGGAGGGTCGGACAATCCAGCAGCCAGCAAACGCTGTGCCATCCTCCCAAACAAACATTTCTCCCAACATCTAAGGAGGCTGCTGAGCCTCTGCAAGGAGCTGGTTTTCTCCCGGGCTTGTCCTCAGGCAATTTATTTTGCCCAGCGGTTTCTCTCCTCCTCCTCCTCGAGCTCTTCCCTTATTCGGGGCACGGTGACAACACTTGCTTTGCACCCATCGCGCCGCTCCATCCAGCTATTTATATTCCCGGTGCCTCTTCAAAGCCTGCCAGCAGCCACAGAGGGAGGCTCAGCAGGTTCGCCTTTAAATAATTCTGTATATAAGTTAAAGGCTCCGAAGCAGGTCAGCGCTTTGCATTAAATCTGCTCAATTAGTCCTGTAAGGCAGTGCAGGCAGATTTGTGACCCCTGCCCCGGAGAAGACAGCGCCCCGAACCTTGGGGTGCTCCCCAGGGACGCAGCTGTCCCCACGGTGGTGACGGCTGCCCCCAAAATTCAAGGGATGAGATGCTTCGCCAGGACACGGAGAGGTCCATCACAGCTCGAAGGGCCCCGGGGCAGCGAGGCTGGTTTGCAGGCAGCACTGCAGGCAGAGCCCTCCTGCCCGCAGTGACAAGGTCACCTTTACTCCACGCACCTTGTCACCGGATGAGCTGGGCCCTAAGAGGATCAAGGCTCAGCATCACCTGGGGTTGGCTTAGACACCTCCCGAAGAGATGCCAGGATGCTGGCGGGTGTCGGTGGGAGCATTTTGGGGGGACACAGGGAGATATAGAGGGACACAGAGGGGACTGTGGCATCGCCTCCGAGCCACCTCCAGGCTGTCTCGGCCCACAGGTCAAGAAACAGCCCCTGGTCCCAGTACAAACCTGTTGCCATCTATTAACCTCCCCAGACACCTGTTTTTTTCCTCAATCTTTTTCACAGGGAAAGACAAAATGCCTTCTCCCTCTGCTCCTTCCTCTTCCAAAGCATCTCTTATTTGTAGGGGGCATGATTTGAAGAACCAGAAAGGTGCAAATGGACGGGAACCAAACTGCTTGCAGTCAAGATTTCTCCTCTCTCCTTTGCTCTGGATGGAAAATCCCAAAAATGTTTGCAAGGCAGATCACGGGCCACCAAAAATCATCATCAGCTCCCCTGAAAATACAGGCAGGGGCTTCTGCCCTACAGCAGGAACAGCTGCAGCTTCACCTCCAGCTCCCAAAGCCCACATATGAGACCCCAGGCAGGCTCCTCTGTGGCAAAGGGCCAAGGTCAGGCTACAACAAACCAGCCCATTCGCTCATGAAGCCGAAGACTTACCACTTCCCGGTGGCATTTCTTGATGTCTTCATCCTTCAGGGCTTCACTCAAGTGGAGACTGGAAGGAAAAATAATAATAATCAGGTAAGTGAAGAGCCCCAGGTCTCTCGCCTGTTGCCCAAAACATGTGCTGCAAGAGGAGACAAGGCAAGACACAGAGTATGGAAGAGAGACCCCAGGAAGCCACATTTTGGATGTCTTGGCAATTTATCACAGCAGCGAGCACTGCTGAGGTTAAATAAGGCTGCAGAAGGCTGATCTCTGGCATCAGGCTGACGGCGAGCCGGCGGAGGGACCAGCACCAGGGTGCCTGTGCTCAAAACACACCCCAGTGTGGGGGGAAGGAGCCCAGAGCTGCCCCCAGCAGCAGCCTGGGACATGTTAGGAGCTGGCGATGAGCAGCTTCGCCCAGATCAAGGTTTCCCCAGGAAAAGCACAAATGGGAATTTGGGAATGCATCTGGGCAGGAGGATGGACTCGACTCTGGCCATGCCAGGGGCATCCACCACACAGATGAAGGGAGAAACAGTGAAATCCTCCCAGCAGCACGAACACCGGTCCCCTTCCCCAAACCCCTCTGCCCTTCCTGCTTTTACAGACCCAGTATTTGAGGGGGAAAACAAAGAGAGGACCCTCTGTGCCCACCCCTAACTGGTGGGTTGCATTCAGGGGTTGGGAGGCAGCAGGGATGCTGCGGGAGGTCACAACAGGAGGAAAAAAGGAACAAATACTCCACCATAGGTCCTGGGATGCTGCCCCTCACCTGCCATCGAGGGAATCCAAACTCTTCTCCTTGTGGGATGCCTCCAGTTTCTCACGGCTGTGCATGGGCTCGGGGCTCTTCAGGGGAGCTGCTTTTTCATGCATCAGCTTGGTGCCTCAAGGAGAAGCCTGTTAGCCCTGGAGGGGAAGGGAAAGAAGGGAGAGACGTGTTTTAGAGCCGTAAATCTGTTCCCTTCAATCCCAGTCTGCACAGAGACGTTAGTATTTCTGCCGTTCAAGGACAGCTAGAATATTTCTGCTACTTCTCAAGTCACATGGAGAAAAAAAAAAAAAAGGGCATTTCTTGCCAGGAACTCCCTGGTGCTCGCAACCAAGTGGCCAAGGAGCGGCAGCTCCCTCCCTGCTGCCTCAGATAACACCCTCCAAAGTAGAGCCTCTCCTCCTCAAAAGATGGAGGTTGGGATGGGAAAAATCGCAGGTCTGCAAAACTCCCTGGGGTGATGCAGACTTTGGCCAGCGAGGGCCAGGGTCTGCTCCTCCAGGTCAGCAAAACACCATCTTCCGAAGGCAGAGCCCTGGCCGAGGGCACCACCTCCCTCCTTCAGTCACTCCCCTCTCGTTAAAGCCTGTTATTTACTCTCATGAGTTTTATCAAAGGTGCTTATCGGCCGCCACAGGTAAAGTAAACAAGCTCCCAGCACCACACAGGGAAGGTTATCACCCAACAGGCCAAAAAGGTGACGCTTCCGCCCTCAGCAAACCACAACCGGAGATTGATGTGCCGCGGTGCTTCTGGCACGGAGAGCTAAAGCGGGGCACGATCCATGCCGGAGCAGCAATCCAGGAGCTCCGACAACATGGCAGAGCCGGCAAACAGCTACCGGCCCGACGGGGAGGAAGTGACCGAAGGGAAAGGAGCTCTGCTCGATGGGCAGGGGGTGATGCCAGAGCAGGTGGGGGACAGGCAGGATGGCAGCAGGCAGGATGAGCACCCGCAGGCAGGGCGAGTGCGGAGCTGGAGCACATCCCGGTGCCCGCAGGGGTGATGCCGTGGCGAAGCAGCAGAGCCCAGGTGGAGAAGCCATATCCAACTGCTTCCTACATACAGAGGGGCTCTTTTACTGCCTGTACTTCCCTAGACACACCCTGTTCCTGCTCTGAGGGGCTCATCCGAAGGGAAACCCATTAAAATAATCCCCCACAGACTCAGGGAGACCCAGGACAGGGCTGCCACACTCCAAAAGCCAGACCCAAACGGCTTGAGAGTCAAAACCACATGAGCCCATGTTCCCTCAGGAGTCCAAATGAAACTGTCCTGATGCAAAGAGGCAGGGCTGAATCCCGGCTGGAAGCACAGGGGATGCTCCCCAAAGATGCAGCACGTACATGGGGCTGAAGAAAAACAAAACAGGAGTCACTGGTGCCATGCGGTGAGGACGAGGCCGGGAACCAGCTCCTGGATCCCTGCTGCTGGTGTTTGCAAAGTAAACGAGCTGCTCGCATGGCCCCGGAGCACAAGCATTGTGGGGACGGGATCAACACACCGAGGTTGTGGGGGGTTTTTTTTAGAAGCTCAGGTTAAAGGATGTATCTGGAAACAAAGGGAGACTCTGCTGACAAGAAGCACCAAAATAACATCCCTTGGCATCGCACCAAAAGGCTTTTTCCCTGCCTGGCTCCTTGGACACCCCATGCCTTCAGGACGGGCAGCCCCGTGCCGCAAACACCCTCTGCCAGGTGATGCCATGCTGCCCTGAAGCCGAAACTCGTGCTGGAAAAGGGGCTCTGACCCACTCTGGAGCCTCCCCCTCCAGAGCTCAGCCCGCTCCAGCTTCCCCCACATCATCCCTTAAATCCCCAAGCAGTTGCACTGCTTAATCCGGGTGAGCGGATTTAGCCCGAACCGGGGCTGACGCCAAGGGGCACCGCGCAAGGGACGGGGAGAGGCACCCCCTGCTCGAGGCGAGAACATTGAGAAAGCCACCCTGAGGTCACCAAAAACACAGAAATCCCCTAAAAAAAGAAGAGACAGAGGCTGGAGAGCACTTGGAAATGCTGCTTGGTCCTGCCCTGCTTTTCCCCCCTCTTATGGTTCCCAGCAGGGGCACATCCCGGGTCAGACGGTCCCCAGACACAGCGCTGGCACCGGGCTGCTCCGGGGAGGGTCTGGGGGCTGCGAGGAGCACCCTCAGCCCCAACTGAGGCATCACAGTAGCTGCCTCATCTCCCCTCTCCAGAACTTGCTCCATACCAATACCCAGATGTGGCAGGGATGGAGATGCAGGGTTCGGGAGCACTGGATAAGAAGGTTGGGCTCCAGGCGCAGGTAACAGAGAAGTTTCCCTGCCAAGAGCCACTTCTAGCACCAGCAAGGGGAGGAAAACACTTTCTAGCGGCACATGCCATCACGCTCCTCAAAGGAATGTCTTTAGCAGGAAGCCACTCCAGCAAAAAAATCACCACCCGGAGTGTCCCCAAGTATGAGCAGAACAAGAATAAGTCGGAGCGTGGAGCCCCGAGAGGAGGCAGCGCAGGCAGGTGCAGGAGTTCCCAGCAAAAGGAGAACTTTGTCATCTTGCTGCCGGAGCCTCGGTACAGAGGTGAACACCCCGTCCCTGCCCACACAGACTCTCTGAGAGCCCCAGTTTGCCTCCCGGGCCGCAGCTGTGCCAGGCAAAGCCTGTTGCTTCTCCCACCCTCGGATCGGGATCTCCCTTCCCTTACGCAGCGCTGGGATCCGGCCTGGAAGCCGTCCAGTCCGGCGGGAGCCCCTCCGGCAGCGCTTTGATTTTCACCGGGTCCTTTCCCCGCTGATGGCACAAGCGAGGGTGAAGCGCACGGCGGAGGCAGGAGAGAGGGAGCCAGGGATTTCGTCTCCCGAAAAAAAAAAAAAAAAAGCCAAAAGAGGATCAGAGCCGGAGGGAGGCACTTGCAGCTGGGCTGCCTCGGCCCGAGCGAGCCCGGGCGGGATCCGGCGAGCTGCCCTTGTTCCCGGCTTTCAAGGTCATTTCAATCCCGTGTGTTGGCTGCTGGAGCGGAGCCACCGCCGAGGATGCTGGAGGGGAACGGCCGGTCCCGAGCGGCGCTGTCAGGAGAGAGGCGGGAGGTCAGGGAGAGGAGGGACAGAGGGAGCCCTGGGCGTACCCCCCCCCGG